TGTCCGGATTTTGAAGACACACATGGAATGAGACTTAATTATTTCTTGATGCATACTTGAGTTTCATTTGATGGATAATTGACATTGGTGTTGATTTTGATTGATTTTAATTCGACTTTTTGAGCCCTTCATGAACTAAAAAGTTGCTGCCCGGAACTTTGTTTTATGGTTCCAATACTTGTTCGAAAGTTGTTTCTTCATGATTTAATTTTAATTTGAGTTATAATGTGAATGCTTAACTTTGGTTATTGTTTCTTGTTATTACTAACTCATCTTGTGAACTTGTGCAAGCTTCCGAAGGTGTCTCGGTACATGAGACTTGTGACATACTTTTGTTTTGTCGGGACTTATATCTTATGTAGGATTATTTGTTCGACATTCGGATATAAGTTGTGATTTATTTTCACATCGATGATGCTTTGATGCTTATTCCGAGTATTTGATTTCTGACTCTTTTCTTTGATTGGTGAAGCTTGCGCGAAGATCTTTGAGTTTCTTGCTTTGATACGCTTTGCTACGAACTTTTTGTTCGTTTGGTATTTTTCCTATTTTGTTTATATTCCGCATTGTCTTTTAAATTCCTTGTCATGAGAAGTAGGAATAGAGATGCGTGAGCTGAAGACCTACCCTCGTAGGCATTGCGAACTTGTTTGTTTACATTCTTGTTGATAAAAGACCTCAAAAAGGGATAATTTTCTTGTTGGCAAAAGACCTCAAAAGGGGCAATTACTTGTTTGTGCAAAAGACCTCAAAAAGGGACAACTTCGTGTGTTTGTAAAAGACCTCAAAAAGAGGCAACTTTGTGTGTTTGTTTAAAGTCCTCAAAGAAGGCAATTTTGTTACAGTCCTCAAAGAAGTAAATTCTCCTCCTCTTTTACTTTGTGCTTACAATCGAGTCAATAAAAATTGGAACAATATGGCTCACAATCAGCCCTCACACTTTCAAGTACCTTTGTCATTCTTAGGTCGCGTCGTATGTTGATGCTTTGAATTGTTCGTCTCTTGTCCTTTGAGTCAAATATAATGGAACAATAGGGATCGCAATCACCCCTCACACCTTGTCATTGCTTCAGAGATATCTTAGCTCATGTTTGTTAGTGTAGATGCTTCGAGTTGTTACTCGATTTTGTGATTGAGCTATTCTAATGGAAGAAGGACCCTTCGACTCATCGACCTTTGTTTTCATGTATAGATAGCTCATGTTTAATGTCTTGAGTCGATGCTTGTTAGCATCTTCGTTTGTGTTTATTTTCTTGTACTTTTGGTTGTTTTTTTTTTAGGTTCAACTTTGCATGTTCCCTTAGGCTCACTTGTTTTGTTCTCGATTCAAAGTAGACATTAGGTTTGTAAACCATGCATGCTAACTTAGGTAGATGTTTCCTTTTTGTATCCAAACTTTAGGACCACCATTGTATGATAACATTAGGATTGTTAGTCTCCCTTAGAATTTTTCATTCCCCTTTTGTATAATTAAAACAAAAACTTATTTTCTTAAGAAAACTCTAAAACACTTAATATTTGAAGATGCGAATTGTATGCAGTTGAGTCTTGTGGGGTAGAGCGAATCGGTCCATACTGAATCTTGATCTTCTTTCACTTCCAGTCTTTATTAAGGTTTAAATCACAAATCTTTTTGCAAATAAGTGGAGAAGTGGTGAGTGTCCCTCCAGTGAAATCCATTTTATATCATCCCACCAAAAACACCAACCAATTCAAACCTTTTTACCTTTGGGCTGCCTTCGAGCTTTTCTTTGAAAACTTTTTCTCTAAAAGGATGTATTATTTCCTCTCCCTACAAACACCGCGTAATTCCACAAAGGTCAGGTGGCACTATATCAACTGTTAGAGTGCGAATGTAATACTACTCGCTTAAAAAAATGCAAACCAACCAGCATTTTCTAGGAGAACTACGAGTGCCATGATCCTCTATTGCACGAAGGATGGTACGTAGGCACTAAAGGTTCGCAACCGCGGAGGACACGGCTAATAAAACCTTTTTATTTGTATATACACTATGCATCCGTGCATTTAGCTTGTAAGCTTTAGATATGAACACACCATTTGATTAGAACAACAAGAGTGGATCCCATGGAGTACCACAGACGTAAGGGGTGCTAATACCTTCTCCTTGCATAATCGACTCCCGTACTCGATCTCTCGATCGCGAGACCGTGATTTCTCCCTTCTCAGGGTTTTTCTTTGTTGATTTTCCTTTCCCTTCTGTGGGATAAATAAATACTCGATGGCGACTTTATTGATTTTCTCTCGATGATTTTCCCAGTTGTTTCACAAGTATCTGGTGGATATAATCGCCTCTAATAAGTTGATGGCGGGCCTGCAAATGATGATATTTTATGGAGATGAGGCGTCAATTATCAGGTAGTTTACTTCGATCACTATGGAATCTGCTCTTATGCAACAAGTCGTTTCTAGAATAGGATGTCAGCTGAGCTTCTTGGGTCTATCAAGACTCGCTTGATATCCCAGTTACCGTGTTGCATAATGATGAACATGAGATCCTTGTCATGAGGATGGACTCTGATAGAGTCACGGTTAGAGAAAGTGATGATGGCTTCGGGTCTTCTCTGATTAACTTTGGAGATCCATGGGGAAAATACATTCGCAGTCAGCACTTGTATAAAGTATTTTCTCTGGGAGGAGATGGAACTTCCTCTACCGGCGAACCCTCCAGCAATGGTGTTAACCACAAAGTCTGGATCTTTCTTGGCCATTTCTAGGAGAAGACAATGAAGATGGTGGTGATAATGGAAGGTGTGGTTCAAGCTAGTTTTATTGAGACCCCACAGTAGACAACACTATACTTTTCAAAAAGTATAGGCAAATGACACTTATATGCTCTGTATGTTTGGTGTATTTTGTGTGTATTCTGAATCATCCTTCCTCAGTCTAAGAATGAGATATTTATGTAGGCCAACCGTGTAACACTCCAGACTGCTTTTAAGATTACCGACTGACCCAACAAACTAACACGGGTCTTTTTCAGCATGTTTTGTCCTTGCTCATACGCTTTCTGAGAAACTTCCCAGAATGTCACCATTTCAAATACTAATCCAAGTCAAGCAAGCTTAATTATGGAGTTATTATTTGTTAGACTACCGAAAAGAAGATATGTCTTGTTGGTATATGTAGTATCAATCAATCCTTATAAGTTTTCCTTCAATCATGCAGTCTCATACCTGCACAGCTCCATGATCCCTCGCATTTCGATGTAAATTCGATTTTTGCCTAGAAGCTGTCAAGAGCATCTCATTGTCATGCCTCATGCACTAACAATAACTCCCCACCCTCATTGGCCTCGGGTGTTACATGCCCACCAACTTCCGCTTGATTCGTCCTCGAACCACATTGTATTGGGAGAGATCTGCTCTAATACCATTTGTAGCACCTCAGAATGCTTTCAGGATTATCGACTGACCCTACAAACCAACACAGGTCTTTTCAACATGTTTTGTCCTCACTCACACATTTTATGGGAAACTTCCCAAAAGGTCACCCATCCAAATACTACTCCAAGTCATGCACGCTTAACTATGAAGTTCTTATTTGTTAGGCTACCGAAAAGAAGATGCATCTTATTGGTATAAGTAGTACCAATCAATCGTTATAAGTATTACTTCAACTATGTAGTCTCATACTTGTACAGTCCCACCTCTCATTTTGATGTGAATTCATTTTTCGCCTAGAAACTACCAAGAGCCGCTCATTGTCATGCCTCGTGCATTGACAACCACTCACCTCCCTTATTGGCCTCAGGTGTTACAAAAGGGGCCTGCAGTTAAATTTTTCTCGGGAGTAGTGGGAACCATTGAATTCCTATTTTTTAAGAAGACATGGTTTAGTCTCTTGACTCAAGATTCTCTCTAACTAAAACATGTCATTTTTCACATTTCACCAAACTGAATGAGTGATGAATGTTTAAGATGAGATTGTTCTCATTACATACAGTGGAAGGATGCCACCCCTTAATGACGGCGTGATCTCCTCACCTTTAGGAGTCTTTCGCAAATTTGTCAGTACAAATAAAATCATAAATGCATTTATCACATATATTTTAAATTTTAAAATATAATAAAACATAAATTATAATTAAAGAAGCAATATAAACCTTCTAAATTTCTCAAACCTTATCGTACAATACAATTTTTTAATTTTTTCAAACTAAATAAAATTGTATTATTAATAAAAGAAAATGTATTCTCCATTATTCTCTCCACCCAAATCCTTAACTCTTTTCACTTCATTCTTCAGTTTTTTAAACTCTCTCTTCCCTTCCCATTCAAACTCCAAAACAAAATCTTAGGAGGCTTTTAATATCTTTCTTTATTTTTTGTCTTTTGTTTTAGGGCCTTCCCCTCATTATTCACGAGAAAAATAAAAAGTGATATCCAAATATTCCTTGACCAACAGCCAGCCAAATACTTCATTGTTCACTCTAAACCAAAGATTATATTATGCTCCATTGTAACACCAACATCAACCAAGAAAAAATCGCTTATAAATGAACTGGAAAACTGTATTTGTTAATAAATATTACATTGCCTTGTGATTTTATGACTGCCATGATTTCCAAACTCTTACTCATTTGTAAGAAATCAATCACATGATCAATTAATCTAAAAATTATGACTAGATCTTCAATTAATCTATCGAAAAGCACAACCACTTTTTTCTTTACTATTATCAAATGTTACACTTTTACGAAACAATTCACAACTACTAGATTTAACAAGAAATATAAAAGCACATTAAACTTGAAAAGAGACCAAATCCATGCCAATAGCATTTACAAACCAAATCCATGCCAATAGCATTGACATTAACAATAAAACTTTTTCTATAATACAAAAAAGAGCATTACATAAGAATCTTCTCTAAAACAAACCAAAACAAACCACACTTATTCAATGACATAAAATAAAACACAAACTGAACATAAAACACACTAATTAAACAAAGTACATAAAAACCAAGATTTCAGATCAATGCCTCAACATATCATTTGAAGCAATGAGAGAAAAATTCAAATGAGGTAGAAACCAAGGCTTGAGAAGAGGATCGCCATAAAGAGCCATGTCATTAGATGGACCATTAACATCTTCAGCATTTTTCACCATGGAGTTCAGAGATCGCAATCGTTCCCAAAGCTCCATTATCTGTGCCCTAACGACATTGTTTTCCGCCTCCTTTTCAGCATAGGCGTCCTCCGTCACCTTGATGTTCTCTTTAAGACGATCGTTATCGCTTTTCAATCTGCCGACCTCTTCAGTCAGATCTTCAATTTGCTTCTGTTTCCTCATTCTTGACCGCCTCGCAGATTCGCGGTTCGACTGCATACGCTTTCTCTTCCTCTCCTCTTCCAGGAGTGGATCTCCGCCATCTGAACCTGAACTTACACGACGGTCACCAGAAGCCATTGAATGTGTAACTATCTCAAAATTGGGGGGAAATTGGAGAATTGTGCAGATCTAATTAGAAAAATTTCAGAAAAGGGGAAAAGATTGGAGAGATTAGAGAGATGAGATTAAATTCATGAAAACACGTAGAACCAGTAGAGGAAGGCGACGGAGAATGAATGCTGGAGACGGATGCGTCGAATAGGGTTCACCAGCGTCATAGAAATTCCATAAACATTGAAGTTGTTTTGGAATCAAATCAGAAACCCTAGATCGAGAATGGTTTATGGAGGGAAAATTGAGATTACAGAAACCCTAGATCGAATTAGGATTGGGAAATTATGTGTTGAGATAAGAGGGTAGGTGAGGAAGGTTTTGAATGGATATGAATGGTGGCTTTTATAGAGGAAAAATATTCTGGAAAAGAAATTGAAAACATGCTAAAAAGTAAGAATTTTGGTTTTTTTTTTATCCTTTTTTTTTTGTTTGAAAAGGCTTGTACTTATCTTAATATTTTAAGTAATATTGTTTTGAAATTTGGAAAAAAAATCAATTTTCGAGAGCTTGATTTGGTTGATAACGCGTCACAGCTGGCGGCACAGTGACAACTAAAGATTGACAGCTTTGAAAAGATATATATTTACCTAACAAGAATTGTGACTCTATCTTATGAATCTAATTTCCTATTGAGTATTTTTATTACCATATATATAAAATATAGAATGATTATTTTAAAATAGTGCATATAGCATTATAAGATACAATTTTAAAAATAATAATTAAAATGATATGACAATATTTTTTACTTAATTGAGTTTAACCTACTCATTAAAACATGATCCTGGTCATTTCATCCTAATTATTCCTAAGCTAAGTAATAACTTATGAAAATCTAGAAGCTTAATATTTTTTGACTTTGGATCCCCAAATTATTTTTTGACTTAATATGCATCTATATATAATATAGTTTTTAAATATACATTTAATTAAAATATTTTATCATGTTGTTTTTAAAATTATTTTATAAGTTCTAATTGATAAATACTAACATTATAAAAATATTTTATAAAGTGACTTAATTATAGTTGTTAAATTTTTATAAATATTTAATTTTTATTTCAAACATCTTTTAAGTAAGTAATATTTTTTTTAACTCTTAAAATTAGTGTTTAAAAGATTTTCTTTGGTTGGTTATTTTGAAGTTTAATAATATATTTTTGAAATTTATAAAAATGTATGAGATTAAAAAGTAAAAAGGAAAAATAGACATTGATAACATGATGTTAAAAAATACTCTGTTAAGGTAAAGGAGACGGACGTGTGTATGCAGAATTTATTGTTAGGATTTGCTTCGGCGAACCAGGATCATAAGGAGGGATCAGAGAAAGATGATTTGAAGGTCAGAAGTTTCAAGAGAGTTAAAGAAGGAGATGTCAACTTTACAAACAAGTCTACGTTGTCGATACTGTATGAGGTATTTGGGTCTGATAGTTATATGGGACAGAAGAATGGAGAAGATGGTGGGGATAGAGGTTGATTTTAGCAAACAACTTTTTGCAATAACAACAACGACATTCAAAACGTACAAAGAGTCGGTGTCTGGGAGAATTCAGGAGGATTAAGTTGAACCTGGTAGTGAAGACAAAGTAAAGGAGACGAAACTACCACTAGAACTTGCCAGAATACAGATAGAGGAGAATAAAGTATGAGGATTTGAAGGCCCTAATTTGGTATTATTAAAGTACGAAGAAAAAAGAATCCATAGACCATGGAAGAGAGGAGTCATAGTCAAGCTGTTAGGGAGGAAGATTGGATACAAGGCTTTTGAAACAAGGCTAAAGCAAGTGTGGGTGAGGAAGGAAGTTATCAATATCATCGATTTAGGTAATTATTACTATTTAGTGGTTTTTTCAAATGAAGAAGATAAAAGTGTTGCATTATCTGATGGACCGTGGTTCATATATGATCATTACTTAACGGTCAAAAATTGGGCACCAAAATTTCAACCTGATAAAGATACTATAAAGGAGGTAGAGGTGTGAATCATGATAGCAATATTACCTGTAAAATACTATGACGCGAGGGTGCTGACCGTGTTGGGTAATATAATTGGCAAAACGGTGAAGGTTGATAAGAACACTACACAAATGGAGAGGGGTAAGTATGCTAGATTGTGTGTCAAAGTTAATATCTCCAAGCCATTACTGGCCATGTTCGAAATCGAAGGAAGGGTGTTTAAGATCGAATAAGAAGGATTGCATATGTTGTGCTTAAATTATGGTAAGTTTGGACATTATAAAAAGGGATGCCCAGAAAAAAGTTATGCTCAGGTAGACGGAGTAGCGGAGGTTAATAATTCAGGAGCACAAAGGAATGTTAAATTGGATAATGAGGTGGTGAATGATGGACCGTGGAGTGTGGTTCAAAATAATAGAAGGGGTAGGCAAGCCACGATGGGATGAAAAATCCAAAATATAGTGTTCCTTGAGAAGGTTTAGGTGGGGTCTAGGTTTGCGCAGTTAGAAGTTGAGGAACTAAGGGCCAAGGATGATGTTTCAACAAAGGATGATATGTTACATGGTAAGGGAGCAAGTAGTATGACAAAGGAGGATGTGATATTGAATAATAACAACAATATACTAGTCTAAAAAATGTGAAAGATGTCACAAGAGAGGGGTCAGGCATGGTAGACAAAAGGCGCACAAGTCATAAGGGGAAGGAACATGAGGCAGGAGATGTGGACAGACTGGCAGAAAATATCAAAGGTACCCATTTAGGAGGAAACACGAGTAAATGGAAAGAGAGTATGAAGACAAGAAATGGTATGAGCACATGGCATGTTGGATTCAATAAACACTTAACTAATGGTGAAAGTCTTAGGCAAATAAAGTTGGCGGCACGTGGGACTAGCAATTTCAAAGGAAATTTCAATGGTGGAACCAGGGTGGAAAAGAGTAGTATGAGTGGTAGGTTTGCAACCAATATTGGAAAAAACAACCAATCAAATAAGGAGGTTATGAATAAGGTGGCTAGCGTGAGCGGGTGTATGCATGCACAAGAGATGAACTGCAATAGTAAAGATATGAAGGGTATTGGCATAGTAGTAACGTATAATATTAAAGAAGTGCCACTTGATTTGGACAATATCCCGTAGGTATGCAGCAAGGGTAGCACAAGGGAACAAAGTGATGATACTACTAACATAAATTGTATGGTGGATAGTAGCATTAATGAAATTGAAATGGAAGAAGAAAGGGCATCTGAGACCCCCCGAACATGCTTTGAGCATGGTTGATAGGAGTACGTTAGCAGCTTGTATTGTTTTAGTGATAGTACATAACTATATATTTGTGTGGAATTGTAGAGGGGCTACGAGTATGGAATTTTACCACTATTGCAAATAGTATGTGAGTATGCATGGTAATCATGGAAACTAGGTGTAATCATATAGATTAAAATTTTCTCATGAAAAATTGAGTTTTGATAGTTATGTGGTTGAAAAATAGTGGCTTTGCTGAGGTGTATTATGCTAGCATGGAATAGTACAACACTATAGGTTCAAGTGGTTCTGAAACAAGCTCAATTTATTCATGCTCAGATCAGGGGACCGATTATGAGGAATTGGGAATTTACTGCAGTATATGCAAATTCAAATGAAGACAGAACTGTGGGAGGATTTGTTGAAGCTTTCTGAAGATATTCAGAGACCTTAGCTGGTAGCGGGTGATTTTAATGATATAGCCAACATATATGAGAAACAAGGTGGAGAAATTGTTCCAGCTCGGAAGTCGTATAAACAGTTGCAATCTGTTGTACCCCAAAATTTGCCCTCCCATTTCCTCAACATGTTCTCATCACAAGACCTTTGAAGATCAAGATCCAATTAGGGTTTCCTCTGCTCAAGACTTCTCCTTACACTGTGGACTCAAATTAGGGTTTGTGTTTGCCTAAAGATGTTTTGACCTAAAATGCCTAAGATGACTTTCATGCTTCATGTTGGACTCCCAAGTTTACCTATACCAAGTTTCAAGTCTTGATTCCAAGTTTTACCCAGTCAATTGGACAGTTGACCTAGAAATCAGCTGTATTGGGGAAAAAGTCAACTGTGGCCAATTGACAGTCAAACCTCATGAAATTTGATCCACATCAACATTATGGACTCATGTGGACCATTTGATCAAGTTTGAATCACAATTCCCCAAGAAATTTGATCAGATCACCAAAAGGGCAAAATGGTCATTTTTAGGGTTTTGACTGCACAAGGGCAATTTTTGACTGTTTGACCTAGCCAATGGCAAACCAAGCTCACATATGGACTCAAGGACCCCATGGAATTATCTTGACATGTTCATCAAGCTCAAAAGATCCCAAGTACACAAGATTGACAGTTGAATTTCCCGGTCAATTGATCAATTTTGACTGTATACTGAAAAGTCAAACTTTGACTTTTTGGTCAAAATCAAGAGTCAAGGTTCATTTTTCATCAAAACATTACAAATCATGAAACTTGTTCACCAAGAAATCACAAAATGCAAATTAGAGTTTGAAAATGGAATTTTTCATAACTTAGAATTTTTCTAAGTTATGAAAAACCCTAATTTTTTCCCAACTTTGCCCCATCTTTTCACCATGATCCATTTGGATTCAAACAAAAGTCAAAACATGAAAGTTGTAGCTTGTTGCAAAATCTACAACTTTGATTCACAAAGTTTTCTCATTTGAAGCTTGTATCTCAAGTTATGATTTTTTGAATAAGGGCACTAAACCATCTTTTAACTTAGTGAAATTTGACCTATTTTGACAAGGTTTTCTACCCTACTTCAAGGCCACTTTTCATACCCTTCCACTTGGAATTTCAAATTGCATTTCAAAGATGGATTGTAGTACACATTCCAAGCTTTCCAAAATGTCCAAGAACTCATCAAACAACCTCATAACTTGAGAGATTCGAATTTCACAAGTTGGCCAAAATTCACTTTTGTTCTTCATCTTAACATGTTCATAAACTTGGCAAATTTGAA